AATAATTAGAAGAGGGTTTTGGTGTATATGATACTATAGTTTTAAGAATAAGGAACCCCCAGAATAGTATTGGTAATTATTTAGGCCTTTACATTACTCATATAGTATATAGTACATGTGCACACGGACCCTTAGGGTTGCATTATGGATGGGTATGTGTTATTCTGCGGTATCGAATGTTAGGCCTGTTAGGCTCTCACCCGTTTCAGGGTCCAGCGTAGTGCTTGGTCTTTGCACTTCAGGTTTAACTAAATAAAACACTACTATTTTGGGGGGGTTCTGTATTATAGTTGTAGTATATTATACCCCAAAACCTTATTCTAACAATCTAAGGCCCCTCAACCCTAAACCCTTACAGTAGCCTTTATAGAACCCGTTTAGGAACCTTTTTTAAGGAACCCCCCAAAAACCCTATTCAAGAAATTTAAGGCCCCCCCCACCTCAGGGGTTTTCGGGTTTGCTAGACAGTGAAACCCTAAACCCTAAACCCTATAAACCCTAAACCCCTAAATCCCTAAACCCTAAAATAAACCCTAAACCCTAAACCCTAAACCCCTAAACCCCTAAACCCCTAAACCCCTAAGCCCTAACCCCTAAACCCCTAGACCCTAGACCCTAAACCCCTAAACCCTAAACTCCAAACCCCGAAACCCCTAAACCCTAAACTGCGAACCCCAAAGCGGCAGGCGCTGTTGCTGCTGTCGGTTCAACTTCTGCAGTCGGCATCTTCGAGGCGTGGGGTTTAGGGTTTAGGGCTTTTAGGGTTTTAGGGTTTTAAGGTTTCTTCCAGGTTTTAGGGTTTAGGGTTTAGGGGTTTAGGGTGTTTAGGATTTTTAGGGTTTTAGGGTTTAGGGTTTTACGGTTTTCGGGTTTAGGGGTTTAGGGTTTTAGGGCTTCAGTGGTTTAGGGCTTCAGGGGTTCAGGGTTTAGGGTTTCAGAGTTTAGGGCTTTAGGGTTTTAGGGGTTTAGAGGGTTTAGGATTTTAGGGGTTCAGGGTTTTAGGGTTTAGGGTTTTAGGTTTTAGGGCTTCAGGGTTTTAGGGTTTATAGGG